GGCTAGAAGCAAAGCTCCCATAAATAAATTTTATAATTTAAATCAAACAATAAACTTGTATTCAACAAATCAGTTAACTTTAGAGCACATTCATGTGACTTGAGGGAAAGGCTAAGTGATTTTAGAGAAAAATAATTTGCAAACAGTCCAAGAGTGGACCAAATCTTACATCGAGTTGATAGCCTTATATGTACACCCAAAAAATATCAATCATCTTCGATCACATTAAAGAGACGTAATGGCTCTTGATCACAGTAGATAAGGCCTGGAAAACAAATTCTTGGAAAACAAATCAGGCGAATTTTTTGCGTTCGACAACTTTACTTTTACAAAATCTTGCCAACAAATCTGGGGGAGTGTAAAACTACCTTTTATACTTTTTATACATCATATCTGAGGTGAAACAGTACTATGAGGCGCTGTTATTATCATACAGACCTCGGACAGAATGCAGTATTTCACAAACAGTGCCATCCAAAATCGGATTTCCGACTTTGACAAGCGACGTATTTCTCAACCAAAAACCCAATAAATAAACTAGCCATGAATAACAGAAGACTCTTAATAGTAGCCTCCCCGCAGACAACCTTTGGGGTTCGTTTGTCACGCATTCATTTCTTCCCCACGGACGTCTGCTAAACGCAGCCTACTTTTACGTTCTGGATTGTTTGAATAAGCCAATAAGCGGTTAGTCATTGTGTCACGATCAGCCAATCACGCGCTGTGATATAAGTGATGTCTTTGTATTCTCAAGTGAATTATTTATTTGCACCGCTATCGTCTACCTGAGACGACTCAAACGTTTTGAAAAAATCACAGAAACGATGCAATAAAGCTGCAGTCAGCTGTATATTTTTTTCGGAAGTTGTGACTATAAAATAATCTGCTTTTCTTTGAAAGACTTCAGACAACAGTCTCCCACACGAGCGCGGAGCGGTTTTCAGCGCGGTCGAAAACAATAATTACTATTAACTCTGTATATATTCGAAGTATTAAGAAAAGAGAACTTGTAAACGTGTATACGGAAGATATTCAAAGCATTCTTCGAAAACAAAGGCCGTTTCCTTTTTTGCGAAATGTAATTCCACCAAGGTCATGGGTCGCGGACCAAGGACCAGTACGCAAAATTTGGTTATATTTTTTCAAGAGTCGGTAAAACAAAAAATTCGAAGTCTACAGCAATGTGCTTCCAACGGCAGAAAAAGGTTTATCTGAAAACTTGTTCTGCAAAAAGGCACGTCCTCCCGTTGCGTTTTATTTATTCACAAGCTTAGTAAACATGACCACGGTTCCGCCGAAGTCCAAACTTCAAGCTAGAACGACAAATTAACCTACCTGTCAACAAACTTTAATCTCGCTCCTTCAAAGAAAGAAAGAATGCTTATAATCAATAAATCATTGAACCTTTTATTGTTCATTGTATTTTATTTCTCGACGAAATATTTAATCATGCTCGGGAAAGTCGCCGACCAAGGACCACATACTAACTGTACAAGTCACTCGCTAACATTTCCTCCACCGATCGATCTTCAACCAAGCTTCTGGGCTTCCGTAAACAACAGAGAAAGTCCCTCTCTCGACAACCCTCATATTCTCTTTGCTAATATCACTGAGCGTTACAGCAGGAATACCAATATTTTCCAGCTTTGTAGATTGATCTTTCAAGATTTACCAGGGAAGAAACAACAACAACAATAATGTCCAGTAGTTCCACGCACTGTGTCGCAAACAAGCAGCAAAGCTTGATAGATAAGAGATTTGCCAAATCCCGTCGGTAAATTTATGAACTCATCGGTCTTCGCTATAAAATTTGCAGGATAGCTTCCCTCTGATACTTGTTTAACTCTGTATTAATTACAAATTTCTCGCATACTCGATCAAAAGCCTCACTGATCGTGTGAATCTTAAGAAGCGCCTCGGGTTACGTTTTACAAAAATCGGTAAACGGCCTGTGATTGGTGAACGTAAATGTCGGCTGTGTTTAGCAGACGTCTGCGGGGGAGAAATGAATGCGTGACAAACGAACCCCAAAGGACGTCTGCGGGGAGGCTATCTTAATAGCAGCTGAATTTCATTTTGTACATCCAGTGGAAAAAGACAGTTTAAAACATCACAAGTTGACAGTAAACTCTGTCAGCTTCAGCTGTCAAAGTAAACAACTTTCAAGATGCTGCATAAATTCCCCACATGAACTCACCTGTCAAATTTTGACCAATCAGAGCAAAAAGAATTGGTCGTAGAGCGTGACCAACGCGTGACCATGGTGAGAAAAGTCAAAAGCAACTGTATTCCCCGCCTGTAATAGCTGGCTGAATTTTCGCGCCCGAGGTCAGTTTGAAATCAAAATTTTAATTGTGCGGCACATAAACACAACATATTTCATATACTTTTTAAAAATAAAATAAACCTTGAGCCTGCGATCATTTGAAAACTAGTAACTTGTCAGCGGAGATCTTAAAAAAATACTCAACCTCGATGGGTCGAAACCTGAACCCGCGATACGGTCAGGTGGTACTGGTCAGCGGATTCCCCGTTTTGACAGCTGTCAATTGATTACAACATTAATGTGCAATATGTGAGCATTATCAGTTTTCCTGTGCTCCCAAACTAGCTAGAAAGTGTGAGATTGAACATTGGTTTCACTGTGGTGCGGACGGACGGGCGGTGTACGGTCACGTGATTACCAAATTTTCTGAGACGGGTAATTTTACTTAGCTATGGGGCTCCGCTCGCGCACGTTTCTCGCGCATGGAGCTCCACTAAAAAGCAGCACTTTAAATTCAATACGTTGATTAATAGGCAGCCAATGTAACTGAAAAAGCAGTGGCGTAACGTGATCTGATTTTCTTGACAAGCTAGCTGCAGAATTCAACACATATTGGAGACGCTGTTATAAGTTCTTTGGGAGACCATAAAGCAAAGAGTTGCAATTATCAAGCTTTGAGGTAACAAATGCGTGGACAATTAAGGATCTTCGCTTTCTGGAGACTTAAAAACTTTCTGATGCGCGAAATGTTTTTTTATAGAGTAGAGCGGAGATTTGCAAATTTGCAAGGATCAAAGGCTTTCCTCTGAAGGTAAAATCGTTTCGAAATACTGCAACATATCAAAAGCTCTAGGGGGTGGGTGGTCCATCCACCCCCCTTGTACCACGATGGGGGTATGAATTTGCATGTACGTCCGAGGGTTAACATGAATAAAACGTTTTTTCTCTGTTTTATTGCATAAACAATTATCTTTCGGAAAATAGTATGGTGCAGCAGCACTTTTGACTTAGTAGGAATTCCAGGGGATAGGTGGGGGGTATGACAAACATCCCCTAGAATGGAAATTCCAGGGGGCTGGGGGTCTAAAGCAAAATTGCCCTCTTTTGGGGGTGGAGGGGGGGTAATATTTTCTGGGACTACACAATTAAAGGGAATCTAGAATTTTTGTTTGGGTAAACTATGAAAACGTTATAACAGCAATCAGACAGGTATTGCGATGACTGAGGGTTTAAGAACGAATGTCGCTAAGGATTGAGCATAATTGGAAATCGTCAAACAAAGCCTTCCCTCATACTTTGTGTGTAGTTAGTACTTCATATGAGACTACTCACTGTGGCATTTATTTGACTTCTAACAATAACCTGCAATAGGCATCAGGGGGGGGGGAGTTTGGGCAGAAAAGTGCATTTTTGGAACAATTTTCTCCTTGAAAATTGGAGTTTTGTTAGGTAAATATTTCAGAAAGCAGACTAACAGTTAAAAATCTGTTTACATGATAGCAAAATATCATCCTTCCTCTCCATAAAAATGTTATCAATTTTTCTCTAGGCCCCCCCTGACGGCCCCTGTTCATTGTCATTTACAAGGGGGGGAAACGTTTTTTGACAAGACTTAAAACTGGACATTTTTGAACACATTTTTTTCTTACTAGCACTCCTATTTAGATCCAAATTGAAACAGGATGTAAATACTTCACCCCTTGTAAACCATTTCATGATTAGAAATCCGCGGGCACTCGATACATTTTTGCATGCCAATCAAATGAAAATGAATACCTGAGACAAAATAGTAAATTTTTACAACTTTGTTCGCCTCTTTTTTTCTTTTAAAAAATGTAATTGGGCCGATGTTCAGGAAGAACGTTGGATGGTTCCTATAGATTGCATCCCTTTACTTTTTACAGTCAGTTGTCGAGCAGATTAACGATTTTTTGCTTACAAAGATAGGCATCGCGTGGTTGGCGGTTAATTTGCCCCCTTTGGACAAGCACGTGTTCAAAGGGATTAATTGCGCAACACACACCCTTTAGTATCAGGTGATAGGAGTTTCGTGTTTCATTTCGAGTCAGTTTTTACCTCGAGCGTATACCAGAGTTGCGCACCGTACTGTTTCGTTTCTTCTTTCGTTTCATCCCAATGGGTCGTCCAAGCAGGTGCCCAGGTTGTAAGGAGTTAAAGTCCCCTCATGATTTTGGTTCGTCCTGGAAAGAATTGTACAGGTCCAGTTCGCAACGACACGGAACAGGATCTCGAGGCGGTTGATGAGCTAGAGTACACCGAAGAGGTTGGTGCCACCTCTTCTCCAAAACCTGACGTCTTGCAGTCTTTAACGGAATCGGTGCAGCTCTTATCCACTTAATTGAAATCTCTTCGACAGGAGACTACCGAGTTGCGCGCGTTAGTGCGTCCTCGCACTTCACGACAACAGAAAACACCAACAGTACCGCCCATTGTTACATTGCCAGAACTGCGTGCTATGACAGATTTGGCCCAGACGGTGGATCGACTGGTAGACGAACTTGGCTTTGTTTGTTCTGATGATAGCGAGTCTGAGAATGAGAGCGACCCTCTTCAGCACTCAGCAGCTACCTCTGCACCCTCCACGCCTGCTGGTAAGTTAAAATCGGGCCGGGAAGCGAAAGCTACCAGCGAGGTTTTGTACTCTCAAAGATGGCCTCACAGTTTCCTTTGTCTCACACGAGCGCAGCGTGAGGTCAAATACGAGGAGTTAACATTGGCCGAGATCGTGGCTGGATACGCTCAAATTTTATTATGTAAGGACATTAGTCCTTTAGAGCGCACGGAGCGAGAAAAGCATCTCGTCTCGTTAATGTATTTCGCCCAGCAATACGAATGGTCAGCCATTCTTAATTTTCACGGTTCTGTTTTGCTCGAAATTGAGCGTGGACTGGTTACATGGGGAGACTCTTATCTTCATTTGGAAAGCAGAACCCTTTGTGGGCACCCATTGGAGGAGAAATCGGCGACTTCCTCTTCTTCAGCGCCAGTTCTATTTTGTCGCGATTATCAGCGAGAACAATGCATTAGCGTTAAAGACCACTTCGGTTTTATCCGCGGAGAACGCAAATGGTTGAAACATATCTGCGCGGCATGCTGGACTCGTCTTCGAAAGCAGGAGTCGCATCGGGAGAATTCTTCTGATTGTCCTTTAAAAGCTCTGGCTGCGAAAGATTCACCGGTGACGCCAAAAAACTAGACAGTTTTTTGTCTCCTAGCCTTCACGGAACCGAAGCTGGGGGCGTGCCCGTTTTAGATTTTGGTTGTAGTTCTAGACAATTTATTCGCGACTTTTTATTGCAAGACTTTTCTCCTGCGAGACATTTAGCTTCTGGCCTGACAATGTTTTCGTGCCCCAGTTCTAGTTTTTCTACTCAAGAAAATGGGTTTATTAAGTTTTCACAATCGAGACATTCAGTTTTTGATTATGCAACACGGCCTGCCACGTGTTCCTTTGTCGACGCTCATTGTGCTGTCTTTTCTTCTGGACAGCTCAATCACACAGGCCTTATTCCCGTTCCTTCTGGACTAAATATTCCCGTGTGGCGTGCCTTGCTTCAAGACTATGAGGACAGTGTAATTTGTGACTTTTTGGAATTTGGTTGGCTCCTTGGTTACACTAACCAGACCCTTCCAGTGTTTGACCTTCGTAAAAACCCACCGTGGCGCGTTGAATTTTCCTTCCGCCGTTCAAGACTATCTCAGTAGCGAGATTTCACTTGGTCGAGTTGCGGGATCTTTCGATGCACCGCCTTTCCCTGACGGTTTTGTAGTTTCTCCTCTCAACACGGTGGCCAAGCGAGACTTTCAGGAACGAAGAGTGATAGTGGATTTGAGCCGGCCTTATGGCTCATCAGTTAATGATGGTATTCCGTCTGGTTCTTTTCTTGGCGAGCTCCTCGAATTGACTTATCCCACCATTGATGCTATCGTCTCGGCGATTGTTTCCCTCGGTCGGAGTTGCGTGCTATACAAACGCGATCGCAAACCGTACCGCCAATCCCCCGTCGACCCACACGATTATTGGATTCTCAACCGGCGCACATTTAATTATCTCGATGACTTTATTGGTGTTTCCCCTTTGCCTTTGGCAACGTCTCATTTCAACGAGGTTAGCGTCTTGCTGCATTATCTTGGATTAGGGGAATCTATTGATAAATCATGTCCTCCGTCTCCAGTAATGACTTGTTTGGGTGTCCAACTCAATACTCGTGACTTTACCTTATCTCTTGACTCTGACCGTTTAGCCGAAATTGAAAGCTTTGTTACAAACTGGTTACACAAACGTACAACAACGAAATCATCTCTTCAGTCGCTGGTAGGCAAGTTCGTATTTGTATCTAAGTGTGTCCGCCAAAGTCGAGTCTTCATTGCGCGGATTCTTCGTTTGTTACGGTCAGTAAAATTTAATCATCATCATATTAATCTCAATTCTGAATTTCGTAAAGACATTCAATGGTGGTGCCGGTTTTTGCGTGTCTACAACGGTATGTCCATGATTACCGCAAATACCTGGTCATCTCCTGGCGAGTTGTTTACAACCGACGCTTGTTTACCCGGTTGTGGAGGCCTTTGTGCGCGTTCTTATTTTCATGGGGAGTTTCCAGAGTTCATCTCAATCCAGCATCTTGACATTAATTCCTTGGAACTTTTGACCATTGTTTTTACGCTCAAATTGTGGGGCCATCTTTGGCGCGGCCTTCGTTTAACTGTTCGGTGCGATAACGAAGTCGCAGTCACTGCCTTGAACTCGGGACGATGTCGGAATGCCTTTATTAATTCTTGTCTGCGAGAAGTCTGTTTCTTAGCGGCAACCCACGAGTTCGAGATTCGAGCTGTTCAATTCCCTGGTGTGTTGAACAGTGAGGCTGACGTGCTTTCGCGCTGGAATGTGCCCTCCCGTGCCAAAGACCAATTCCTACACCGTGTTAAAAGTGATCAACTTATTGCAGTTTCTGTGCCAATTGCTTTCTTTCAGTTAGACAGTCCTTTCTAATGGACCGTTTTGTTTGTTTGTTTTTTATTTTAATCGTAGATTTCTTAGCATTGTCTACATTGAGAAAGGATTGGAAGTACACGCTTCGTTCTGCCTATAGTTCTGGAACACTTAGAAATTTAAGGACTCAATTTAAAGCCTTTTTGTTATTTTGTACATATTTCAGCTTTACCCCGACGCCAGCTACGTTGGATACTATTTGTCTGTATGTGCAATTTCTTAGTCGTACGCTTAGTCCTCCTGCTATTCGTAACTATTTGTCAGGGGTTAAGCTCTTACATTTGTTTTCAGGGCTAGATTTTCCATTTAATAAGGATTTTCTACTCTCGTTGACGTTGCGTGGTATTGCGCGTAACGCGCTCCACACCCCATGCAGAGCTTCCCCAGTTACCCCGGATATTTTGCGTCAGATTTCTAGGGTTTTAGATTTCGAGACCGATCGTATTTCGTGCACGCTGTTTTGTGCCTTTTTTATTTGCATTCTTTTTAATGGCGCGGTTAGCCAATATAGTACCTCGTTCACGTAAGTGCTTTGATCCTTCGCGTAATCTTACTCGGAGCGATGTTGCAGCTAATCAACATGGGCTAATTGTTACTTTTAAGTGTACCAAGACTATTCAGTCCGGGGAGAGAAAATTGCATATTCCTTTGTTACGATCAGTTGACCTGCACCATTTGCAAGCTTGTCAGCGATTGGCTGCAAGGTCTTTTCCGGTAGTCGTGGTGGTTATCCAATGAGCAATCGAGAACGCTCGCATGATCTGAGGCGTCCCTGGCGTCACGCTTCCATTCCAACTTCTGAACGAAGCTTCACAGGTTCTTGGTCATCTTCTTGAGGTTCGTTTGCTACTAAATCGGGTTTTTACTTCGGGTTTTCATCTGTTTGAAGTGTGTGGATCGTTTTTGTTCGTTTTTTTGGTTATTAGTAGGTTTTTACCTCGGGTTTGATCTGTTTGAGCTGGAGGTTTGTGAATCGTTTGTTGTACGGTGTGGTGTGTTGTACGGTATTCTGGTTAGTTTTCGAGGGTTTTAACTTCGGCTTTTCATCTTTTTGAGGTGTCTGAATCGTTTGTTGTACGGTTTCCTGGTTGTTTGTTGTTTGTTCCTGGTTGGTGTTTGTAATGAGTAGCCGTGGTCGTGGTTCGTGTCCAAGGTGCCACGTGGAATATTTTAATCGTAGTAAGCCCCCGAAATGTGGAAATTGTGGCCATCATCTGAGTGGAACGTTTCAGGGTGCGCGAAAGAAAACAAAGTCAGCCAGCCCAGCAGTTGTCCAAATAACTCAAGGCGTCTTTTCGTGTCGAACGACGGGAAGAGACGATCGATGTTTTGTAACAAGTAGCGGCGACATCTTGTTGTGCACCCACGAGGCGTGCAAGGTCTCGAGGTCAGTTTACGTAAACAGTGATTTGGCCTCCCAGTACGAGTGCGACCACGTGAAGCTTGCCAAGAACACCGACATTGCTGGTCCCCTTTCTACCTACTCACCAAGTATTTTAAGCTACCCGTGCAGAGGCTGCGTGCGAGTGAATTTGAATGAGGTAGTGTCGTCGCTTCCTCCTGCAACACGTGCGGTCGTGCAAGTATCAGATCAAGTTTTTGCCGTCTTCGGATTGCCCACTGCAAGTAATCCGCTTGGTTTATGTCCTGGAAAAGAGAGGGCAAGAACAAAAGTGGCTATTCTTGCACGGTTAAAGACTCAAAGCGAAAGGGTCAACAGCCAAAGGCTTCTGCCTGCATCTGCATTTGTTGTTCGCCTCTTTGGAAGCCTATCCCTAGCATACACAACAAGTCCATTAAAACCAGAGTTTTTAATTTGACTGAAGGGAGTTAATTTTTGCGGCGTTTTATTTTGCGGTTTTTTTTTTTCTGCGGGAAGTAATTTTTGCGGACCGAAGTCAATCCGCAAAATTCGCAAAAATTAGAACCCGCAAAATTTTCATGCTACACGGTATTTAGAATTTAGTGTCGAATCAAAGCTGGCCTTCGCTCAGCAGCTTCGTTTTGCTGTTCTTTCTAGTTCTTCGTAGTTGCTCAGTGCACCGTTCGTTTTTCCGGCGTTCCGTTTGATGGAGGAGAGGTTTATTAGGCATATCGTTGGCTGTTGTTTACTTTTTGTTTGTATCCTTAATAAACTTCTCTCCGTGCCAAAAAGCGACTTGTGTTTTATTTAACAGTTCTCCATTTAAAAATGGAAACTTCCTTTTAAAAATGGAACTGGAGAGTAAGGCCTTTTTCCTCGGGATATTTCACTGATAATCCAATCAGAACGATCTATCTTAAGTGCTATTAAGTGTGTGAGATCATCCCACATCTAAACCAATCAAATGGGGACAAAGATATGTGATATTTTGCAATGTTGGGATATCTCGCGTATGAGCCAATCAGTGAGTCTCTTATCATACCGGTAACTTCACACCATTTCCGATCTCAAAATGAATAAAAGATAAGACATCCTCTATCAGGTTAAAAGGTCATTTACACAATGAAGATAGAGATATACTGTTACCGTTCCCATAAACTTAACACAAAATCCGTCAGTTTGTTTATGTGAGAGGGGTTTTGTGGTTTGTCTGCCGACTGGTGTTCTCACAGGCGCTAGGATACGAAGCCAGAAGATGTGAGACAATTCTTGGACCCAAAAAAATCAAAAATTGACTCGCTATTATTTCAACAGTAAGTGCAAAAAAAAATACTATCCTTAATCCGGCCACCATCGAGTATCCGTTGAACGACAGTCTTTTCTTAAGTTTCAATGGAACTTCGTTAATGAGGTGATGAATATATGAATATTATAAATATATATAAAAATTGCGGGATGAAGAAATAAAAGCACAGGAGATCACGACAGTGAAATACGCAATTTATGCTGTTGGGAAAAGAAAGCCTGCGTTACACAGATCTTTTTTTCCCATCGTATCTTTGACTCTTTTATTGCAGTCTCACTTTATTTTCTAGCAAACATGAGGGGTTCGAGTGCATTAATTTGAACAGCTTAAATTTCGTTCATTATACATCATCGCTATTTTAAAATTATAAGTAGCGGAATACTCCGCACATAAACGAATCAGAACCTCTTTTATTCCGGAGTGCTGGATAATTCCGCGTTCCAAATTCATGCATGCATGTACACTAGTAGCTTTTGAAATCGTGAGATA